ACCAACTGAGCCACCCAGGTGTCCCTGTTCATCTTTTAAAAGAACCAAATCTTGATTTCATTTATGGGCTGTAAGTCTTTCTCATTAGAATTTGCTTTCCTTCTTAATTTGTTCTTTTCAGTTTGTTTCCTTTTTCTAGATAATGACAGATTTTTTTCTTATTTAAATATTTAGAAGAATAGTATTTTGTAAAACTGACCTACTACATGTAAGAATAACGTTCAAGACGGGGTGCCCGGGTGGCTCAGTCAGTTAAGCAACTCACTTCAGCTCAGTTCATGATCTCGCGGTTCGTGAGTTCAAGCCCTGTGTCAGGCTCTGTGCTGATGGCTCAGAGCCTGGAGCCTGCTTCGGATTCTGTTTCTCTCTCTCTGCCCCTGCTCATGCTCTGTCTCTCTCACTCCCAAAAAGAACATTAAAAAAAAAAGATGTAATTAAAAAAAAAAGAACATTCCAGACACAAAATAACATGTATTTTATCATTTTCCATATATTTTCTAATTCAGTTGTTACTTAAGGTTTTCAGTTTGCTAATATTTTCAACAATTATTTTATTTATTTAGAATATGTATTTATTTTGAGAGAGAGAGAGAGAGAGAGAGAGAGAGAGAGAGAGAGACAGACAGACAGCTGGGGAGGGGCAGAGAGAGAGAGACAATCCCAAGTAGGCTCTGCACTGTCAGCACAGAACCTGATGCAGGGCTCAAACTCACAAACTGCGGGATCATGACCTGAGCACTGAGTTAGCTAACTTAGTAACTTAGCTAACTAACTGAGCCACCCAGGTATCCCTTTTCAACAATTATTTAAGTAGGTAGTACATGCACATAGTAAGAAATTCAAATTCAGGGGTGCCCAACTTCAGCTTAGGCCATCATCTCACGGTTCATGAGTTTGAGCCCCGCGTCGGGTTCTGTGCTGACAGCTCAAAGCCTGGAGCCTGCTTCGGAATCTCTGTCTTCCTCTCTCTCTGCCCCTCCCCTACTCACGCTCTATCTCTCTCAAAAATAAATAAACGTTAAAAAAATAAAAAAAATAAAAGATAAAGAAATTCAAATTCATTGGGAGAAGTAAGTCTCCCCTCCATCCTATTCCCAGTCCTCCAAGTCTCCTCCTTCGAGGCAACCACCTGTTGCCAGACTCTTGAGTAACCTTCCAGACAGAGTTCATGTATATACAGACACACAAGTGAAACACATAAGGACACATTCTACACTCTGTTCGAAGTCTTACATAATACATCTTTGTAAGAGAATTGATTGCTATTTTAAAAATGGCTTAGTACTACTCTTCAATTATGTATTTTTAAGTCTATTTCATTATGACCTATACAGGTGGTTCTAGAAATTTCTACCTTTCTGAGTTAAGAACTTACACATGACATAGCAAATGATCAATTTTATGGAAGTCACATGAAAGTTTTTAAAAAGTCTATTTCCCTGGTTTTATAGTTAATTTTCTCCAAATTCCCGTTAATTTTATTAGTCAAGTTAAGACACTTTTTTCTTGGTAGGCTTACTCTATCATGGTAGAAAATAATTTCCACCAGAATTATGATCTTATCCATTTCTACTTTTATGTATGTATTGTGTTATTTAAGACCTGTAGAGTCAATAAGCTTTTATTTCACTGTTTATTGTGCTTTTATCACTGTCCTTACTGATCCCTCCAATACATTTGAGTTGAAAAATCTTTTTTTAGAGAAAACTTGACATTGTAGCCTTTTTATACTTAGGCAGTGGGAGGTATGTGCCTGGTAACTTACATTCTTTTCAATAAACCTACTTAAATGGTTTACTTTTAATAAATTAGACTTTACTTCATTAGAATTTAAACTCAAACTGATGTGTTTCTATTTCTTATTACATTCCAAACATCAATTACTTAATCAAAGAGTTTTTTTCCTAGTGTCTGCAGAAGAGGGAAGCTCATTGGCTCCGGGGCCAGGAATGGAAGGCAGATACTGAAGCTTTCTTCTGATTTAATGCTCTTGAACACAGCAGAGCATGGTCAACCACCTGGCACGAATTTGCAAGGTTGGGTTAGTGACATTTTAGAGTGGAATGGACTCTATAAAAGGTGACAGCTGTACTAGGTTGACAGGGATTATGGTATTTCCTTTTGTTATACTCTGAGTACCTCAGGTAATCGGCCAGCCTGCAAGAACATGATTTTCACTAAACCCCATAGTTTAAACACCTCTGTAAATCCTCTTAATCCAGCACATACACTATTTCTAAACCCCCATGACATCATCAGTTCAACAATTCAAACAATTGTCACGTTAATATTTAGCATGCCATAAGTATTCGATACAGGTACATACACACAAATGCCTTATCAAAATTATCTTTAAAGATTTACTTATAGGGGCGCCTGGGTGGCGCAGTCGGTTAAGCGTCCGACTTCAGCCAGGTCACGATCTCACGGTCCGTGAGTTCGAGCCCCGCGTCAGGCTCTGGGCTGATGGCTCAGAGCCA